ATATATATATATATATATATATATATATATATATAATGTGTGTGTGTGTGTGTGTGTGTGTGTGTGTGTAGAATTATTCATCAATTCACGCTTCATTTTTTCAACCTAGCATTGCTGTATACAGTAATAACATATTACGCCAATCAATTACAACAGTATATTTTTAAAGATTATTCTATAACATAATTTTAATTTTAACATATTGCAGCAGGATATACAGCAGTTTTCAATAGGCTTAGAGACAAATAAAAGTATGTTACATTTTAGAAACGAGAGAATTACTGTGCATATTGAAGTTTCCAATACATATTTAAAATTTACAAGTGATATAGCGACTAAGATAAATTCATTGTAAAATAAAACTGTTACAGATAAACATTTCAGCAATATAGAGATATTCTAATTTACGGAGGTTGAATTCGCCATACTAAACGATCTTGGAGCCTCACCATGTCGTTATATCCCCTATCGCCAATCCAGTCATGCTCTACCTGACGATCGTGTATCCTAACAAAAGCCCTGCAGCGACTTTCCATTGCAAAAGTGTGTCATGTCCAAACCACGCCGCTTCTCCCAGGTGGTTTTCTATAATCCTTATACTGCACGAGAACTGTGGCTTCTCAGCGTCAGTTTTAATAGCACGATACACAGAAATCCATTGGCAACTTGACTAATATATCTTTCTATGGCTTGATAGCTTGAAAACCCGTTTTATTCTCCAGTCGCTTGAGGTATGTAGTGAAAGGAACTTTGTCGTTTTTCCAGACGATGGACCTTCCTTATTACGTTGTTTTCCAGTTCCATTATGCACAAGGGGCATCCTCGCCTTGGAAATTCAAAATCCCTGATCTAAGCACATATTTATGATCCAAGTTTGTGAAAGGGCTGTTACATGCCCTTCCAAATTTTTGCTGGCATCACTCTTCATACACGAAACGCCAAACAATGTCAAAATGCCTTTCCACCTTTATACCGGCTGTGGTTGTCAGGTAACTTGCTGATTTACATATGCAAAATCGATTTAATATAACGTACTCAACCTTCCGTATAATTATAAGGATTAGCCAATATGATGTATG